ACCCAGAGCCATATTGTATCTACTTAACGGGGACTATTTATTAGAAGAGGGGGGATTGCTGCTTACATGGCCGCATGGGGCCTTGGGGTGTTTCTGTTTGGACCATTGGAGGTCAAAGCCACTTGTCACAATTAAGTTCTCTTGTTGACGTGTTGGAAATGAATGCCGGTTTATGGCCGGGTTGCAGCGGGGCATCTCGAAAATTTGATTCGGATCAGGAACTATTTTGGGATTTAGGGTTGGAAGACAAGACAAGGCACCGTCGACGCTTGCTTCTCTTCCTCCTGCACGGTGCTAGCTAGCGTGCGGCAACCACATGCGTTGCACCTCTTACATGGCAAACCCAGCTCGCAGCAACCTCTATCTTCAGATCAGCGGGCACGCCATGCAAGTTCAGAGATCACCGTCCTTCCACACGCCGATGGCGCTGTCCTGACAACGCGTTGAGGCATGTCGCTGGTGAGTACAGTGGCAGGTTATCCCTGTTAGATTGCGCACAAGCTGTTGCAGCCCAGACACTGATTGGAGATGTGATACAGCTTGCGTTGCATCCTCTACCACCTGCAGCCATCAGAGCTCGGTACCGTGGGGTAACTGTGAGCCCGACTCTGACATGCACTGAAGCCGGCCTTGCTAACCGGCTGAGGCACAAGTTGCGCCAATCCCAAGTCCTGCGCAAGCGCGCCGAATCGGATGCATCGCGAAAAGATGCCGCTGACGTCTGCAAGGTGCAGTTTGCACTGCCTGTGACCGGTGCTCTCGTCTCACATAGCCTGCTGACTGGGCGCGGAGCGGCCTTGCTCTCTGTGAATGACGAGCTTCCGTGAATCACACAGTCACAGGGTTGACTAGTGACTAGGTACAGACAGAATCAACTAAGCATGGACAAGGCCAAGCAACAAGGTTTCCGCGCTGCCGTCCGCAGCAACTTGAATAGCCTGCATCACTGCCAGCACAGAGTCACTTGGAAGCAACAAGGCCGAGCAATGCTAAGCGACTTGCAGGGCCTTGATCTCTGCTCCGTACGTCAGGTGTATGAACAATGCCGCGAGTAAAACTCGCATTGCCTTGAGCTGCTTCACTTGCGTCGAAGAGGGCAAAGCCAGTGTAAGTATGAATGGAGCAGATGCTAAGGAGCTCAGAAATAGAAATTGTAGTTCCCCTACCAGAAGGGGAGACCCCATGTAGACCCCCAACATGCTATAATCCTTATCCTTGGGACCCTCAAAAAGTAGGCACCCCGTAAAGTCTAGGAAACCACCAAGTTTTTGAATGCAGCCAAGGTGCTATGGAAATGGATTCTGATAAACAGTTGGGCAGGCTTGGCTTGGTTTGAAGCCCATGGCTGCTTTCATGCAATCGACCACTCCAACGAACCTCTCCTGGTACAAGCACGTCAACAACAGCACGCAGCATCAAGGAGAGACGACTTCCAAGCGCAAAACGAAGTTGGCAGATACCTTTTTCATGGCGATGGATAGGCTCGGCTTGCACCCCCAAGCGGGCCCTGTTGAATTAGAGCAAGGACAAGCGCTCAGCACTTGGCGGGGGCGGCGGTAAGCTTACCGCACCCTTCAGAACTTGGTAGTGCTTCAAGGGAGGCTTCAAAGAAAAACGATCACAGGGCCAATGAGAACTGCACTTCCCCTCAAGGTAAGCCTTCTCCTTCTTGCGCCTTGTGACTTCGGAGCGCCGGGAACGGGGAGCATAGGCCACACAGAGGCCTAACCTTGCAGGCCGTGGAGTGTTCCGGGGAGGAGCCTGGGGGCTACCACAGAGGCTGGCGTGCACAAGCCTGGAGTTGAAGAAGACCATGGAGTCAGGGGGCACATTTGGCTTCACCACCTCAAACCTACTATCTTCTGGAGCGCGGACGTGATCGGACCGGGCGGCCTTCTCCCAGTCGTAGGTGATCTTGTGGGACCCTGGAACCACGCATGTTCCGGACTCGTGGGGCCCACTCCCGAAGTGAGTGTAAACAGCTTGCACAGATAGGTCTGTGTGCGAAGGATGCTGGTCTTTGTGGAGCCATGGTGCCAGCTTCGTTTTTGCAGCACGCGCTTCTGCAATGATCGCATCAAGGCTTACCACCAAGTCGTTTGTTTTGAAGATGCGGGAGAAGGCGTCCTGAACCCGCGGATGGGCCCGTATCCTCCAGGCAAAGTCAGCTTGCGGAAGCCCATAGCTTGTGACAATTCCGCGAAAACCCTTGGGAAAATTCCAAGTCCGTTCTTGCAAAGGATCAAGCCCTGGCACTACTGCCGTCATGGCACCCCAGAACTCCTCAAGGAAGCTGTGGCAGCTCTGTACACTACCGAGGATGCCTTCCAAGACGGCAAAACCTCTTTCTTCCAAATGCCGCAGGAAGTCCATGTTGGCTTCTGGAAAAATCGGGGCCCCAAGACCGCCAGGTGTCGTTTGGGGATTCCCCAGAGGGCTTGCAACTGGACGGCCCTTTGAGGGACTGGAGAGGCGCCGCCGCTTTGGGCTAGGGACTTCCTGAAATTCCTCGTCGGAGAGGTCAATGACTGGCACTGGCACCCAGCCTGCATTGCTGGGAACAAGCATTGCACGGAGTCTCTCACTGAGGGCTACGGTCTTTTGCGGGCTGCTACAAGCTGCCTGCCCATGGTGCGAAATCGTTATTTTCGTGCTGGTAGTTAACCGTTTGAGTGACGCTTTAGAGCTTAGAATGCGTAGAAATCACACCACTGCCGTATCTATGCTTAAGACGTAGCAAGTTGCCTCGATTCATGGCCAAGCAATCAGAAAGGCTCGCTGGAAACGGGCTGCATAAAACGGCAAATTACATCAAGCTGAGCTGTCAAGTTGCCCATTTAGCTCGTGCTTGGGGCATCAGGCAGTGCATGAACGGGTGGGCCGGGTGCGCTAATGCAGGAAGACGGGCACTTTGGGTCTCAGCATAGGGCTCCCTGTGGCTCACTCCTAAACCGACCCATATGCCATACCGACCCCTTAACCCATGCCCTATGGATCGCTGCAATGCCCGAGTTTCCGTTTCATGTTTCTTCTCTTTAGATGAAAGACAAACTGTTGTTCCATTTGGCTTCTCCATCATTCTACCTGAGGTTCGTGTAAGAGAATCCAACACGGACAACGCCCGTGTCACACGCGACCAACAATTAAAGTAGCCGAAACGCAATGGCAATAGCAATAGCAAGAATACATAACAATGATAGCACTCATCGTCGTCGTAGTACTACTACTACTACTACTACTACTACTACTACTACTAGTACTACTACTACTACTACTACCACCAAAACCAGTGATAGTGGACAAGCCGTTGTAATCGCAACAGCAAAACCAGACTCGGAGCTTTGCATCCCCAAGGCTTAAGTCACTGGTGCTTAGCAGGGAGAGGATCCCTACTGCAATCCATGTGTAGTCTCTTATAATGCTTAGGGTTTATGGCTTAGGGTTTAGGGTTTAGATGGGGTTAGGGTCCAGGGTTGAGGGTGTAGCAGCCCCTGCACCCCATAGATCCCCCTATTGCCTAAAGTAAGTGCAGCTATCTTCTTCCCACCCCACCCCCCCCCCAAGCGGCAGAAGCCCATTTTCGTCCTATCAATACGCAAGCATCTCTTGTGTGGTCCAGCAAGCAGTGTGCGAGCCGTCTCCTGCAAGGATCTGGGACTTGCTCATCCTGGGTTGCTGTTAAGGAACTTGATTTGAATTACTATATTGGGGAAACCACATTAATTACTATGTATACCCATCATGGTAACTTAAATGAAGTTCCTGAACAGCAACCCAGCATCTCGGGAGGGACTTCTCCATGATCTTCAAGAGCCGCTGCGGATTGGTTGTAGGACATCTTGGTAGTTCTCCAAGCTCAGTGAGGCCATCACCGCGCGCCTGGTCCAGTCTTGCTGCCGCCCCCGGGTGACTCGCAGAGTAGTTTCATGGCCTGCTCACCAGCACCTGAGGATTGGCTTTCAGAAATCTGGCCTTCTTTTTTGACACCAGCGGACTTTTACGCCTGCCTGAGCACTGGTTGATGATCCTTCTCGGCCACTTCTACGTCAAACAAGGTTAGTCGACCCAACATCACGACTTCAAAGCACTGGATCAGAGGCATCCATACTCTAACTATCCCCTTTCAATCTGGCCTTGGGTTAGCCAGGAATAAAGGAACGCATCCTTGTAGAAGTCCTACATAACGCATTATAGTCGTTTCCATGATCTTTTCCATTCCTTCATTTTTAGCTAACCAAAGGCCAGAAATCTTTGAGGGGCTACGCACACCATGACCAATCAAACGTACCAAAGCGCAAGCGAAGGGAGTGGTCGGCAGCTGCGAACCATCATCTGCTAAGCGCTTGAAGATCTCCAGGGCGACGCGCGAGACGGTCTCCTGGCGATGTCATGGAAGACCAGGGGTTTAGGGTTTAGGGTTTAGAGGGGTCCCCAATATAACCCCAAAATACTATAATTCTTATTATAGGGCTCCTTTCGCCCCTCCGAAAACTACGAAATCAGTAACTGATGTCTAAATTAGTCTCCATTCTCTTTTCGGTTATCCTTATATAATCCCAGTGTAACATGGTAGTTTCCATTCTCTTTCCCATCATCCCCATGTAGCCCCATTATACCCTAGCCGTTTCCACTTCTTGTGCAATCGGCGCGGGTGCAATCTTCTCAAGCGGAATGCTCCTCTCCCCACATCTCGCCCCACTTCTGCAGCAGACGATGCCCTGCAAAAGAATCTAATCCCCCCAAAGTAAACCATAATAAGATCCCTATACATCACATACTCTATCTACTTTAGGGGGGCTATATCCAATGAGAAATCTGGCAGCTTCAGGCAGCCTGCAAACTGACACACTAACATTCTCGCATTAATTGGTCGCCGGGTGCTATGAACGGCATGCGGTTTCTGCAAAGGTTTCTGCAAAAGTTTCTTGCAGCGAGCGGCTTAGCGACTTCCAATTGCTCGGGCGTTCCAGTATTGCAGCGGCATTCTCGGGACGAAGCATGTCGCAGCCAGACTTGGCCACGATGAAGTCCACCAAGCGCACGCCCAACCTGAGTTGACTTCCTCCAGCCTATCTGCTATGTAAAACCCAATATAATCCCTACATATACATATGTTGATAGACAAAAAGGTATAGGTATAGGCATATAATCATATATACATATTTATGTGTAGCTATAGATCTGTCTGCCTGCAGGAAAGCTCAGCTCCTGACTGAACCTCTTCATAGCCTTCGGCATATTGCCCTGAGAGGCGCTGAGTGAAGGGAGACTTGAGGCTGGCGTTCAACCCAGGACCTAAACCCTAAACCGAAACCCTTTGAAGGGCCTTAATATTCGGATCGCTATTATGACCCCTCTTAAGGGGAGGGGATTCATTAATCACAGGTCTACAGTAGGAGTTCTGTGCAAGCAAGGGTCTTCCCAGCCCACTGTTGATTTCATCGGTTAACTTCAGTAGCGCCGCATGTGGATCGTTGCCTTGTCTGGGAATCCAGTCGGCAAGGGGAACCTGGAGCTGTCACGGAGCTTGCAACGGGAAAGCCTACGGGAAGCGAGGGGGGTGATACTGGGGTTATATAGCTGTTATATAGGGATAATGGAAAAAGAACATGGAAATTACTGTTTAGGCTTAGGATTTGAGATGATTTGAGGCTTTAGGGTTTAGGGCAGCAAGACCTGCTTGCACGTAGTAACTACTGCTGTCTACATATCTACATGTTGCGCGGGCGGACGGTGGAGCAAACCCTCCTGCACAGGCGTATACGCACATTGCCTCAAGACTTGCTATGCTCGTGACACTGCAATCGGCAACCACGTGGCTGTGGAAGGGTCGAAGCTCCAGCATGGATCCACCAAGCGGGTGTCTAAGTGCCAGGACCTGTGCTGCACAGAGGTTACAAAACACAAGGATGTTTTCTCCAAACACCCTAGCTCAAAGCCCTAAACCCAGAGCCTCAGTCAGAAAGATAGCCTCAGAAATACCCAAAACCCTAAGCCCTACGCCCTTTTTGAAGTGCAGGCTATTGTCTGAGGCCGGTACATGTTTCTACACATCAGGCTGGAAGGCTTAAACCCTAAATCCTAAAC